TCTATGCCTAAACAAAGTTCACTGAATTCTTTAGAGAAACAATGACTTAATCTGTCTTTGGTTCAGAGCCACTGTATTGAACTTACAGAGGATGAATGACACTTTACAAATACATGGTCTTCTTGCTAGGTCTTTATAATCCCTGCTCATGATCATGGTATTTGACTAACCTCCTAAAAAAACCATGCAGATGCTACTGGAAGAGACCCCAGTCTATCCAAAGGATCCATACCAAAGCCCACAGGAAGGTGCTGGATCTCTTAACAGATCATTAGTAAAATACATATTTATTGATGGCCAAAACCATATCTGAAGAAGTGAAAAAATATATTAAAATATTAAAAAAATTGAATACACTTCTTCATTACAAACTCTTCACTTAACTCTAACTGCAGCTTGTTTCCAAGAGCCTAGAGGGAAGTGAATCATACTCATCAGGAAAATCAGCCTCCCCTCAATCAATCCAGTGATGTAATCCCTATTGTGTAGAGTAATTGCACTGGAGATAAAGGCATGGATTTAATGAACGACACATTTCTATATAAGGCAAACTTCATGTATCCAAAAGAAGGCAGCTACCTCCAGGGTGCCACCTGTATTACTGTGCAGTGGCAGGGTGCTGTGCTCATAAACAAACTTTGGTAGGAATAAGGGAGCTATGATGTTGAATCTCACGAAAATGATGCCTTTGTGGTTCAAGCTGCTTTTGCATTGACAGAACCAGTACCTCTCCATCTGTGTGACCTGACAGCTCTGACTAAAGTCACTTGTCAGAAACAAGTTGAAGCCACATGGCACCCGCCGGCTCCTATGTGTGATCATCCACCATGGCCTTTTAGACACACCTTTGCACTGATTGTCTGATCTGAGTTGAAGAAGTAAAGAAGCAATTCAGTTTGGCAGGCCTTCCAGACCTGTGATTCCTCCTCAGCAGGAGGGCTTCAGTGGTGACACTGCCTGTGTAAGTGGCCTGTCCACAACCCAATTCCCTCTGTGAAACAGCCATGGCTTTCTTGAACTCAGATGCTGTGGCAAGTAATCTGATCAGGTCTCATTGTTTCCAGTGATTCAGAACCAAAATCCTTCTCAATCAGTCCCCAGCACTGCTCCTCATGGGATCTTAGAAAAGTGTGGAAGAGAAAAGAAAAAAAAGAAAAGGGAAATGAAAGGAAAGAAAAATTGAAAAAGACCTACAACTGTCCCTGTTCGGGCGCCAGTAAGCCTGCTACATACAACCACCTGACTACTCTGATCACCTCTCTAGGAAGCCCATTACAGTGTCTGACAACCCTTTCAAAAAATAAATTTGATCCTCCCCTGATGTAGTTTTGAAACATTCCCATGCATCCTGTCATGGGATATCATAGATTGGCACTTTTAATCATTTCCCTCCACAAGAAGCTGTAGAAAGCCATGAGTACTTTATAATTTTATTGGAAGCTCCCCATCTTGATTATACACAGACCAGACTTAGTTGGGTGGTCAGATAAGGTCTGTGTCAGCACTGGAACAATCACATCCTTAACTCTCCATTCAGTGGCTGAAATTTCCACATCTCTCTCATCAGCCTTCATGCTGCAAGCTGACCATGAAGACATCTCTTGCTTGCAGGAGCACCCAGCAGTGAGCAGGAGGCTGCACTGATCATAACCTGGCCACCACCGAGTTAGGAGGCATGAGAGAAAGACAGCAGGGGACTGTGGTGGAACTAGCCTGTCAGGGAAACTGTCCTCTTAAAGCATCCCCCTCCCAGGCAGCTCCTGGGAAGGGAGGAAGAGGAGTCTGATGGCTGAAGCAAGGACTTGAGGATTTGACCCCAGCAAACCTGACAAAGAGGGTTTTTGAACGGCAAATAGTTGCTAGCTGCCATGGCTAGTTTCCTCCCTTGAAGAAAGCTAGCAATTCCTCAGAAACACAGAATCACAGAATATTCTGAGTGGGAAGGGACCCACAAGGATCATTAAGTCCAGCTCCTAAGTGAATGGCCCACACAGGGATTGAAGCCATGACAATGGCATCATTAGAACCAGGCTCCAACCAACTGAGCCTCATTTGACATTTCTACGCCAGCTGCAAGTAAGACACTCATTCTTGAATGCTTGGTGAAAATGAGATTTCTTTTCTTCTCCTCCCCCTGATTTTTGTGTTGGGGCTGGCAGGATCATAGGGCAATGTGAATGCTTGCTACAGAGGGGGCCAGAGGAAGAAAAACAGATGACCAAATAACTTCAGAAGAATGGCGATCGCCTCCAGGGAGCTCCCCTTCATCCTGCTCTCTCATCAGCTGAGAGATATTCAACAGCATCCTACTCTGCTAGTCACTGAATATTTTATATCATGGCTACAACCAGTGCATTTGTATTCTGTTTCTCTCTTTCGTCATATCTATTATAAACGAGTAGTGTCTGGGAAATCTCCCAGGGAAGATTTGCCTGGATGGCTACGGATATTTTATAGTCAAATAGTGAGAGCAAACCAGCTTTCAAGTTCTGTAGTGGGGGAAAAAAAGGTAATAAAAGAGTTATTAAAAAAATAAATAAATGTCGGGATTTTATACGGCTACTTTTTGTAGTGACAGAGCTTCAGTTTGCTCCACGATGGAGCTGGAGATGCTAGAAGAGGCTTGGGATGGGAGACACTCTCTTGCTGGCATTTTCTGCTGCCAGGAGCACTCTGATATACTCTTGCTGGCACGTTTCTTGGCAGGACTGCACTGGCATTAGGTGAGCCAGGTGCTGTGGCCATGACTGTAGGCATCAGGGATAGCTGGGTCTATGGAAGCAAGGCATGGCTCAGGACTGCAGCAACCCCACCTTTGCCCTCACATTTTGGCACATGTGAGATGGATGGGAGGGCAGGGTCTGTCTCTTCCTTTCACAGGGGAAGTCCTACTGAGTCCTTCACCCTCCTCTGACCTAGGGCTGAAGAAGAAGAGCTGAATAAACTTGTTTTGCCCTAAGAACTCTGGGAGGACTTCAGCCAATAGTGGCATCAAGCCTGGTATCAAGGCACTGAGTTTCAATTTGCAGGCAGATATATGGTGGGTTTGCTGGACCAAGTCATGTATTTCACAGGCCAAGAGAAAAAGAACTTTTTTCTCATTTCACTCTCTTTCAATCTGTCTAATCAGTCTAATTTTAAAATTTGCTCTCAGCTCAGCAGCACCCACCATGAAAATCATATGGCATTAAGGAGTCTATACACCTCACAGAAATGTATCAACCTATTAAGGAGTCTATACACCTCACAGAAATGTATCAACCTCTGTACAACAAGAGGAAAAACAGGGATCAAAAAGGGCCCATAACATTTGGTATGAAAGGAAAAACCAAAACATGTAAAAGGCGTCTGAAGTTGAGGAACACAAAATGGCACTTAAAGGCTTTCTTAGGTCTCATGAGTAACCATCACTGTTGGGCAATGTGGGGGTAGAGCAAATCAGTAAAGAGTTAAAATGCTAGAAGAAAAAAAACCTGTAATGAATTGATTCTTTGGCATGTCCAGTCCACCCCATCTCCAGATAGACCACCACAAAAGAACTGTTAAACCAAGCTCTTTTCTAAAATCAGGAAAAGGTTAATGAGCTTTTACTTCACCTGTAAAATGAAGGTGGAAATCTGACACAAGAAAAAAAGCAAGAGAGGCCTCCTCTCTCCATATCTCTTTTTTTTTTTTTTTTTTTTTAACTGTTTTTTTAGCTTCAGGGAAGTTGCTGTTAAACCAAGCTCTTTTCCAAAATCAAGAAAGGGTTGATGAGCTTTTACCTGTAAAATGAAGGTGGAAATCTGACACAAGAAAAAAAGCAAGAGAGGTCTCCTCTCTCCACATCTCTTTTTTTTGCCAGTCTCCCACCAGTCTCGACCAGTCTTCATCAAAGAATGAGACCCCTTTCCCAGCCTCCAGGAGAAGACAAGCAGGACTTAGGCAGCAGAGCTGACTTACCATAAGGGCCAGCTCCAGGGAACACATGAGTTTGCCAGACAGCATCAGCAGCTGGATTCTGTCAGCTAAGCAGGACCAGCAGCTCCAGGAAAATCTGATTTGAGCCAACAATGACAGTGCTCTGCCTGAGCAAGCTGCCACCGCCAGCATGACCACAACATGGAGCAGCCTGTCTCCAGGGGGAATCCAGATGTGTGAAAACTCCTCTGACCTAGCCCAATTCCAAGTACAGAGAGCAAATATGAACCCTCAAAACACAGACACAGATGGAGACCTGCTCAGTGAACTGCAGCCCAGCTCCTAGCCCCGACACTCATGGTGTCAAGGTTTCAGCCTTGCCCAGATTTTGCAGTTTAACCTCTCAGCTGTGACACATGTGCACAGAGATGTGGCCAGGCTCAGGAGCATGCTCCCTCCCAGTGACATCTGCAGTACTCAGCAGAGAGAGGTTAATTAACCCTGCTTATTGAAGGGCGGACACATTCCTGCCTGGGCCCTGATTTTTCAGTCAGGCTCTAGTCCAGCAGGTGATTAATAACCCTGTGTGCTGTGCGAAGAGTGCATCTATTATTCAAATTAATGAAATTATAATCAAGAGGTGACGAATTAGCAGTTGCTCCTTGACTGGATATGGAAACTCATTAGTGAGCCAGGCGCTTCTGCGAGTGGTGCTCGCTGCACTTGAGGCTGACAGGAGCCAGGCAGAGCAGGCAGCCCCTGGGCACAGCTGGGGGAACACACATCCTGCACCCCAATGCAGCAGTGGCCACCCCAGAGCTCTCTGGTTCACAAAGTCCCCTCTCACTCTCCGAATGGACAGACTGACTGTAAAGTGCTGCCCCAAGGATAGGCTGTGACAGCCTCGCAACCCTGACACCCTGCTAGGCTACGGGACAAGCATTTGAGTGCAGCAGCCCACCCTACTGCCTGGAGTACTGGAGTAGGACTCCCACCCTCTGGAATTGCTGGTCGCAGGCACAGCTGCTGAAGCAAGAGGCTGGAGATCTTCCCCAAGAGCCCACATGAGGCTGAGTTACCCTCCAGCAGAAGGGACTCACCTATGTGCTTCCCGTACATGTGGTAGTAGAAGGAGACACAGTAATACTTGGCAGTGATGTTGTACAGGGGGCTGATGAGCCGGGCTTTGTCTCCTGTCACCCGGGGCCGGGACGCCTCGATGAACATGTAATAACCTGCAGAACGAGAGGGAAAGATGGGCAAAGGCAGCAGGAACTGGGTCTCCCTTCCTCCAAATGATGGGATGCCAGTGTGGCTGGGAGACCACACCTCCTCAGGGAGACACGGCTTTGCTGTGCCCAACTGCTCTGCACCCTCTGTGATCCCGGCCAGAGACACTTGCAGGATAGCCCCAGTGCCTCCCCTGCCTCGGCAGTATTTATGGAAGTGTGGGAGAGACAGGCATCTGGAGAGCTGCTGTGAGCACATGGAGCATGTGAACCCCTGAACATGCACATCCGTGTGGTGCACAAAGAGCCTCAGAGCTGACTGCACTGTGCAAGGAGAACACCAGAAAGAGAAAACATTCCAGACTAATTTCTCTGCCTCAAGTAGAGGGAGAGAGGGTTCGGTACATCTAGCCTGAACAATGTTGTCTGAAAAGAACAATACCAAAGCAATTGTTAACAGCCCAGGGAGGAAGAGATTAGCCATTTAATTTGTTAACATCATTTTCAATGCTCAGTCAGGTTGGGTGTACTGAACACTAATGGGAGAAACCATTTCCTTAGCGGGCCATTGGATGTTTCCCGTTTTTTTCTGAGTTCAAAGATATGTGTTTGCATACAAATTTACTTTTCTTATTAGAGAAAGAGGGACATAGTATCCACTTAAACTGGGAGCATGTGCTCCACACACAGCTAGGGTGAGCAATACATAACACCAGCCTCCTCCAGATATAGGTGAGGCTTCCTCCAGCCCCAAAGGCAGCTCCTGTCTGGTCTCTCATGCTTCTGTGCTTGGTACTAGGGAGATCTGTTCACATCCCTGAATAATTCTTTGAGGAAACAGCTCGCTAAAACCTACAGGGCCATTTCTAGGTGTTAGAGATATTCTCCTACTTGTTTATCCATCTTTTTCTTCAAAACAAGCATCAAACAGTGCAAGAGCATTAGGCATCAGGCAATTAGCTGACAACAAGAACTAATGCTCACACTATTCCCCTCAACAAAGTTGTGGGTGTTCTAATTGTGTGTTTAATTCCAATCAGTAACATGCAAATGAACTGCCTGCTCCCTGCACCCCATGTGAAGTAGAAAGCAGAGCTGCCCTCCATCAGCTCCCGGAGCTGTAAGGCTCCCGACAAGAGACGGTGTGCACCTCCCCTCCCCTGCCGAGCCAAAAGACACCCGGCCTTGTGCCGACCCTCTGGCGTGCCGCTGATGTCCGTGGGGGGCCCCGTGTTGACGGTGCGCTTGGGGTTCTGCGTCAGGGCGTTCTGCCGCGTCCAGTCAAAGTTGTCCATCTTGTCCTGCACGAAGCCGCAGATCTTCTCGTCCTCAAAGCGGCAGGTGTTATCTGTGGGGATGGGAAGGGAAGGGCTGCTCAGCTGCAGCTTTTCCAACACCCTCCCCAAGCTGCCTGGGTGCTCACAGCAGGGCTGTGTCACCACTCAGGCTCTGTGTCAAGCCAGGGGCAGACGGGCAGCCCCCGACCTCAGGAGGAGGCTGAAAAGGAAAGCATCAGAGAAATCAGAGAAATCACAGAATGGGCTGAGCTGGAAGCAGCCTCAAAGTCCATTCAGTTCCAAACCCATTGCCATGGGCAGGGACGCCATTCACTAGATCAGGTTGGACAGGGCCCCATCCAACCTGACCTAAAACACTTCTACAGATGGGGCACCCACAACATCTCTGGGCAGCCTGTTCCAGTGCCTCACCAATCTCTGAGTAAGGAATTTACTCTTGAAATTGAATCTAAATGTCCCCTCTTTTATTTAAAAATGTTCCCCCTTTTCCTATCACTACCCATAATACATCAGCGATCAGTGTTACTACAGAAGTGTTAATCCAGGCTGATAAATGTGATGGTCTGACAAAATGAAAAAAGGCTATTATGGCTAAAGAGATTCTCTGAGAGATCTGAAGGGGCAAATGTGGAGGAAGGTAAAAAGATCACCAAAGGCAAACTGGATACAAGGGCTTTTATATCAGAACAACTTGATGGTAGAATAATTTCCCCAGGAGAGAGGAAAAAGTAGCAGCAGATGACCCCCCTTCAGGCTATATATTTAACTAAACTACGACACACATGAAAAAAAATCAGCTGTGGAGAAGAGGTCAGCTCAGCACGACAAACGTGTCATTTAGCCAGAGTACATCTAATTTACACCAGCTAAAAAGCACATTTGATTTTGCAGCTTATGCTGGTTCCTCTAACAAAATAAAACACATAGGTAAAAGATTTTTATGTAGGATCAACCATATGGGCAATAGGGCTCACTTTTATTGCTACCACAAGACAGTTACACCCTACAGCAATATTGTAAGACAGATGAAAAATCTCGTGCATAGACATAACCCAATATGGACTTGCAGAGATTGGAATGAATTGGACATGACCAGGCTTAAGATTGTAACCTTTGTGTTAAAAAGGTAGTTTTGAGTCACAAAAGCAAAGGTCAAGAACCTGCTTTACACTGCTGACACAATAGGAGAGGGAAGGATAAAACAGGCAAAAAAGAAAGAGGAAACAGGTCCAAGAACCAATGTGAAAACTGCCATGTGTTTTGAAAGGTACCTGGGCAGAAACCAGAGCTGGAGAATGAATTGGAAGTGGGATCTTGGACCTTCTGAGTGATGTAGATATAGCAAGCACAGATATCTTTAATTGCTGCTTTTAAGTAAGGGCAAGGAGGTGTGCTGTGAAACTGAAAGATAAAGCCATGAAAGAACACATACACAAAGGAAAAGTAGGCTCTCGATGAGGGCTTGGAATGTGCTAGGAACCTCATCCATGGCATGCTGGTGCAAGACTCAACTTCTTGGGGTTTACCTCCCACAATTGTTTATCACGCCTAGATGAAGGGAAGCCCAAATGCCTCCTGGGGCTCCTGCATTCTTGTATCTTCAGTAATGACTTGCTCTGGTTCCTGGGCAGGAGGCTTTTTCTCCTAGTGTGCATGACTGGCAGGACATGTAGGACATGGGCTGGGTGACAAGGATGGGACACAAAAGGGAAGTTTTCTGCAATGCCAGGGCGAAAGGCTCCAGATGCAGCACAATGTGATGGTAGGAGCTTCATACATCTACCATACACAACAAAATCTGTTCTCTTGTACCAGAGAAGAGAGACTACCCATGAAATGAACAGAATCTTGAGATTCTGATCTTGAGATGCTGCACCTTCTGGTGCCTCCCCTACTTTCTGGTGGCTAGCATCCTCCCCATCCCCTCCCATTTGGAAATGAAAACAACTGTAATCCAAATGGACATCAAAGGTGTGCACACCCGTGGGGTAGGGAATTGGGTTCCCCTTTCTTGCCCATCTCTTTCCAGCATCCCATCAAAGCAGTGAGAAAAGAGGATGCAGCCTCCTGAGGTAACCTGCAAAAATGTCTTTGCCAGCATGGGTTGGACAATGTGTGGCAAGCCAAGGGCCTGGTTCACAGACCAGGGCAGCTGGGTTTCCTGTAAACTCAGCGGGAAACGCTGCGTGCCCACTCCTTTGGGCTGAGCACAGCCATCGGGAGCTTGTCTGGGCTGGCACTTAACTGCTGATTAACCCTGGCTAAGTGCTTTCCACTCAATCTGCTCATTTCTAATTAGCATGCAAATCCAAATTAGCCACTGCTCTGCAGTGCCTAACACAGGAGCCCCAATGGCATCTGGGGCTGAAGGAGAAGGGAGCAGAGGACAGGGCAGATGCTTGCAGGGTCTGAGACAGGGTAGCTATGTGGGGGCCTCTTTCATCCCCAGAACAAAGAGATGGAAGGAGAAAAGAGTCAGAAGGTGGCTCCTAAGGGTCCTTCCTCAGCTGTTTTGGCTGAGAGAAGGGAGTTCATGGCTGTACCAGATCCCCAGCAGTCCCCAAAGGAGACGCTGGAGCCCACAAGCTTGCTGATGTTGCTGGAAGGTGTAATACCCCTGGTTTCTCTCCACTGCACCAAAAACATCTGCATGACTCCAGCTCATGGGTTGCCAGCTGCAGCTAAAAGAAGCACATTTTCTCTCAGAATGGCATTATCTTACACAGCAGGGTCCACAAGGACTGTCCTTTTGCAAAAGCACCAGGGCGTTTTGCACCTCTGACCCTGCTGAGAACATGGACTTTAAAAGAAAGATGACATCTTTCTCCAACACAGAATTACCTTAACAGGGAATATCAGGTGGAAAGCAGAGTTGGAAGCTGTAACACAGAGGTCAGCCAGGCAACTGATTGAGAGGGAACAAACCATAAATGAGGAGGCACAGAAATCAAAGGAAAGGCAGATTAAGGAGAAAGCACAAGCTCAGGTGGGTATCAGAAAGAGTTGTGCAAGACAAGAGGACCTGAGGACAGCATTCCAAACTTAGCACCAAGGCCTGGTTGTGCCAGCCTGGTGGACTACTGTGCCTTCATTTGTAAGAAGCCACACACATGGGATGAGACCACTCAGAGAAGTTGACTCAAAAGTCTTATAGACAGCTCTTTTGACATTCACATAGGGCCCTGAGTGCATTTTATCTTCTCACCCAAATGCAGCTCCTTCCAGAAGGCAACACTTCTAGCAGAGTGCATAAAATAGAGAAAGCTCCCATGCACCACAGATCAAGCAATGCTATTGCTTAATCAACAACATGATCCACCTTATGTGCCACACCACTTGCTGTGCAGAAGTTTGAATCTCCAGCACATCACCTCTGCTTAGCCTGGGAGCTCAAGGCACTTTGCAACACCTAATGAACAAGGCTTCTTAATTTGTGTAGTGTAGCAATGCCTCTCTCTACATATCTTCTGCATTACATGTGGGGAAATAGATGCACAGAGTATAGAGAGACACATTTAGGGTCACAGCAGGCAGTGCCTAGCTGGAAACAGAACCCAAGTGCTCTAACTCCTGGTTCTTTGGTACAAAACAAGCCACAGGAAAGCAAAGCTCTGTGGTTTCTCTGAGCTACAATGGAGGTGCCATGAATAACTAGGAAGTGTTCAATGTGGTTTGGGACACTGCCAGCATGTCACCCCTTGGTGGTTATCAACAAGGTTCACCAGGACAAACCTGGCAGATCCAGCCAAGAAAAAAACCTCTAAATCATCTGCTGTCCCTCAGAGACCACAGAGGTGATCTGACTTTTGACCTTGACTATGTGATGCAAACCTTCTTGAAGACTTTTGTCATTTGCCAGGGATTCTGGTTCATCCTCAAGGAGTAAAGGAAGCTTCCTGTTTAAAATTTAAACAGTGGATTTAAATACTGAACACAGAAGTTCTCTGGATTGTTACAAGTAAGGTGGAGGTGGCAGGGGAGCTGGCTCCTCAAAGCTGGATTTAGTGCTGTCTTCACCACACAGATTTCCTTGGCAGGCTTTGCAGTGGTGGCAGTTCAGAGTGCAGAGATATTTGCCCTCAGTTACAGACACCTTCATGTGTTCCCAGGGGAGAGACCCTCTACTGTGGCTATTAGCATTTCTTGTTGCTTTGCCTTCTTGAGAAACATAATGGAGGTTTTCCTTTCAAGTCCTTAGGGGAAAGCCATCCCTGGTTCTGATATTCTGACTGCCAGATGAATGCAAAAAATAATACTCCTATTCTAGCTGCAGACTATGGGTGAATAGCAGATGGAGTGCACTTGAATAAAATTGCCTTCATCATTTTGCTGTGGCCTGACAACTGACACTGGATTGGAGCCATGCTCTGAGCCCCAGCTCAGTTGCAGACCTGCTGTGTGACCCACAGGCTATCATTTTCTGGGCATCAGTTTCCCCATCTAGAAAATGAAGATAATGAGAAATGTATTGAGACCTCAAAGTAGTAATGATGTAAGAAAGAATATTTAACAGTCTCTCCTATTACAATTTTCTAGGGATTTTATAACCAATAATGGGAGAAAGCTTCACAATGCTGTAAGTGGCTTTGCCATCCTATTTGCCATCCTATTTGCCACCAGGATACAAGGAACTGTCACCTCTTTTAACCTTTGCATTACAAAACATTCTTGAAGAATGGGCACAAACTCAAGTAATCCAACTCTAAACACAGGCTGACATCTCATTCCCACATGTTCCTACCTGAACAAACTTGGATTCCTCTGGACTCTGAGCATTATCAGAGACCAGACACACCAGCAATAGATGGTAAGCAACAAGCCAGGCTAATCTGCAACAACCAACATCTGCCATGGATCACCACACACTGGACTTGCTCATGGTCCCAAAATCATGGGACCATGGGCAAGTACAAAAATCATGTGGGTTTAGCACTGCACACAGCCAGACTGCAGGTATGTGAGAAACAGTGTTGCTGCTCTGAAAGGGCAAGACAGGTTGGCCAAAAAAACCCAAAAAACCCCCAACTATCCCATACATTTCTTGATGACATCTTCATCAAGGTTACAAGGTTACATCTGGTAAAACAAGGGAAACCAGAACACCCAGGGAGGAGGAGCTGGAACGGCTTGCGGGGCAGCACTCCATGGAAAGCAAATGTTATATCCAAATAAAATTGCAGAGAAGGATAGAGAAGATTCCCCAGCACTGGAATGTGGTCATGACATTAAAACAATCAGTTATTCTAAGAGAACTTTAAGGTAAAATCTCAGAATTCAGATAATTCTTAGGCAGTTTTTAAAATAAAAATTCTGCTTTTTAGAACCAGATTTACTGATTTTTAAGAGTCAGTCTTACTGATAATCTCTAAATATTTGAAATTCCCAATGTCTTTTGTTCACTTCCTGTGCTCTTCCTTTGCTTTTCCTTTATAACCCAACACCTGGCTCTGCAACCATGCCACACGCATGCTTGCCCCAATGTTATTAACATCTTATTAGGCTGAGAGAGAAAATGCATGAAGAAGTAATTGTATTAAGTGACTCTCAGAGTTTGTAAATTAATCACCATTGTGCATGCCCTTGGATCAGGCTGCCAGAGGCATTAATCATCTAATCTTTGCCTTTCACTCCAGAGCTTTCAATGTTTGCTCCCAGAATTTGGCTCAGCAGCTTAGTGTGAACTTTTCCCTGGGGGTGACGGTAGCAGGGGAAGTATGAAAACAAGAGGTAGCAGGAGGGATTTCCTCTTTTTTGGGGTGAAGAGTTTGGGGTGAAAGGGTGTGGTCCAAAGAAAAAGCTAAAGGCCTTTGGGCTCATATTTCACTGGCTGCAGATCTGAAAGGAAAAGCCATATCTGAAAGCAAGTGTGGTAGGCTCAATTTTAGTCAGTCAGTCTCAAGGTGTGAATGCAAGGGCAAGGCCCTCACAACTGGCCCAGAGGTCCCAACATTCACCAGAGACTGGGCAATTTATATCAAGGGGAAATCCTAAGTGTTGGGTTTACTGCATAAAAAACACGAGTGGCTGAGTTATGTTCCACCATAGGAAAATTTCCTGCAGTTTTTCTGGACGAATAAGGCTGCCAAAGGTACCCCAGGCAGGCAGTCTGAAGGCTCAATTTACAAAGACCCCAAGAGATTGACATAATTAGGACTGAAGTTGCTCTGGGTTTACCAGTGATTTATGCAGTGTAAAAGCAAGTGGCAAAAGGCCAGGCTTTGTCACTTCCACCTGTGGGCTGGGACGCTTGCTTCCTCCAGCAAGCACTGAGAGACACGTTCTAGAGTAGATCCCTGGCAATATGCTCCATGTTTCCCAGTGAGTCTTCTATGGTGAATACTTAAATCAGATCAGGAAGTGAGGAAAAGAAAACAAATGGAATCAGGAATTAGAGCCACACAATCCCTCTGACTCTGTAAGAAACTCCTACTCTCAGGCAGAGTATGGCTCATCAAACCATCCTCAGAGTGTGAACGTGCAAGAATTAACTCCTTGTGGCTGCCTTAACAAGAGTGCTCCCTATCCTGATTCTGCTATCACCTAATCCTGGCTTCTCCTCTCACTGCTACCCCACAGTGCAGCAGTAGCACTTACTAACACAAAGAGTAATACATAAAACCACTGAATACTGACTCAGCAGCTGGAAACAGAAACAGCCCCATGCTCTCCATGGAGCACTAGCAAGTAGTCTGCCCATCTCTGCCCAAGAGCTTTGCCTGGGCTTACATCCTACAATCAGAGTGAAAGGGCCTTGTTGGATACCCTGGGGATCATTCCCCCACTACTTAGAGCAAGTTAGAATTCCTCTTTTATGCTCAATGAACACTGTCATGTTGGTGTTAGAGAACATTTTTCTTAGACATTGTGTATGCAGCTCTCAAAATCAATGGGAACTCTGGATGCTCAATACAGATGGGCCTGTATCTTGCCAAGAATAACCAGAGGGTAAAAAAGCAAGTTAACAGTGGTGACACTGAAGTGACAGAAGAAAGGGACTGTGCTCAAAGAGTTTGCAGGAAGAGACAGATTTGAGCTGGAGACTGCTCCATACAAGCCTGCAGAGATACCAAGTGGTATCATTCCTAGTCAGAAGAGGATGGGGAATATTCCCTAAACACAGATATTTTGGGGAACGTTTAGTAACCTGCTTACTGGAAGTAGATTGCTCTTTCTGGGGCATGGTTGTGGGTGTTCAAGATCACAGTCTGCCCCGTCACAAAGATACCAGGTGTGAGTGAGAGGCATATCCCTAGCATAAATCTTCTGGCAATAACTCAAGGTACAACAAATGACAGTATTTACTGGAAGCTTTAGTGTATGCAATTTCATCTTCTTTTGGGGAAGAAAGATTTGACAAAGTCGGCTGTGTATTCCAGTTGTTTGTCTTGCCTGATCTGCTGGAGCACTTGACTAACATACATTACATTCAAAGCATTAACACAAAGGTCTTGTTGCTTACCTGTTGGATTGGGATAGTTGATTGCTGGAAAAAGAAATAGAAAAACAAGTCAAAACAAAAGTACAAATCATAATCAAAGTCTGAAAATAAAACAAACACATCAAGAAAGGTCACAAACGCACGAGTCTCCTGGCAGCATCCCTGGGAGAAAGCAATGCTTGGTGCCTGTTTTGGTGATGGAAAAGGATGCAGACACTCTAACCCAAGCAACAAGAGACCTTAAGAAAACCCCACCTAAGGGGTGATCCTGGGGTCATAGGGAAACTCTGCTGGCAACCCAAGTAGTTGGATTCTGGATCACCAAGTGGGATAGCATCCACTTAGATACCAAAGCTTTGTATCTAAGAGGGACATCAAAGCAGTTTGATGCACTGTGGATGCTGGGGACACTGGACACACTGACAATCCATGGGACAAGCAAACCTAACAGGAGAAGGATCTGTACTTTCTGCTGAAATAGAGGGTCCAAACTCCTGTTGGAGAGTGAAGGAATCATAGAGTTGTGAGAATAGAGAGAGCTATGAGCTGATGGATAATGGGAAGAGAAGTATGGTCAAAGTATCCCAATGAGATAATATGGGATTCAAGGTATGGGACAGAGCTATAGCTTTAGGAGTGACTAGTTAGGACAGGAATCATGTGTTCAGCTCTGGAAATAACAAGTCTCCTGAAATTCTCTTACTTTTATAGGTGTGTTATTAATACACAGCATCCAGTGGCTATCTTGTATTATAAGCCACTGTACCACAGTGAGCTGCAGCATGGCCTGACTGGGGTTTTGGGGATCTCCTGCCCACAGGTTGCAGAGTGTGAGTCAGAGCTGCTGAGTGGAGGATGAGTGGAGACTGACCTTCAGAGATCTCTAGTGCTCTGCATTGATGGCAGCATCCAAAATACAGTGGAATGCGATAGTGCTGTGCCATCAGAACTTCTCAGAGCAAAGGGACCCACCCGAGGGCCACAGAAGACCACCTCTCTGCATGCCCCCATCCCCAGGCCCGAGGCTCAGACCTGCTCTGGTAGGCAGGAGCGAGGAGGAGAGGAGACACCTACGTTCCATGTACCGGATGACGCGGGCAGCCATATCCCCAGCCCCAAAGCTGGTGATGGGCGTCAGGCGAACTTCATAGCTCTGAGGCACTTTCAGGTTGGGTAAGATGTGCTCCAGCAACAGGCCTTTCTCCATTTTCTTCACAGGAATGAAGGTTTGGATGGTGTTTCTCTGAGACAGCTGCACAGAAAAAGAACCCATAGTGTTATGAAAATCCAGAAACTGAAAACCTGAGCAATCATATCCATCATCTAACACCCTATTCCTCCTCCTCTTTCTGTGTAGCACACTCAGTTGCTCCATGAGATCTTCATGCAGTATTGGTTTGAAAATTGCCACTCCTGGTACAGAACAGTGATCAGGAGCCTGAGTTCCCCCTGAAGGGAAGCCTTCATCCCTCTAAGGGAGGGACAATTTGAACTACAGGTCCTGAAGCAACTTTGTGTCAGAAGCAATGGCTTCCGGAGGGAGAAAATGAACCCACTTCACCTGTTAGTGCACCCAGGTCCTGTGTAGCAAACACAGCACGGCATTGCACCAAGATACCCTTCAGTTCACAATCTGCTGCAGAATTAATTAACTTGCTGCCTGGGCCATGTGACACTTCATTTGGTGTCTCACTACTACAAGGAATCTCCTACCATACTTTCTCAGAAACCTTCCATAGGGTCCATCACTGGACTCCCTCCACAGACCAGAGCAAGGGGTTTATTTCAAGTTGATGGTTCTCTGGGGTCACTCACAGGCTCCCTCTTCCTCTGGTTCCCATTGGAAGGGGCTGAATTATGTTAGCTGAACCATACCAGCTAAACACTGTTCAGTTTGCTAAGGCAGCAGGGAAGTTTCAAGAAAACGGGGAAAATATCGTTATCAAAATCACCACCACTAAAAATGATGAATTACATGTCAGTGAAACTTCTCTGCCATGGTCATGCTTGCTTGGCTGGGAAAGAACAAGAACGAGGATTGCATTGTGAAGATACAATTTCCTGCCTGTCGCTGTGCAGTGCCTGGATCCTTGTGGCAAGACACGTTACTGGGGATGCTGGTGCTGGTAAAAAGACCATTGGCAGGACTTTTGATAGTCCAGTGTTAACTAAGCTTTCCCTTGCCTCTGATATATCCTCTAGGCTGAAGTTTCCATTGCAAAGGCAGTTCTCCTACCAGGCAGTCTCAGTGCTCATCATTAACTCTGAAGTTGCAGGATTACTGGAACCAGGATACATGGAGGAAATTTTACAGCAAATCTGCCAGTGGGGCAAGAAGATGGCATGAGGGCACAGCAGAAGCGAAGGCCACTATCCAAGGAGGACAGGGGGCAATGCTGATGTGGTGCTTAGTGAAAACAAGTTCATGCAATCTCTCCTCTGCCTGTCTCCAGCTCTCATGTACAAAACTCTGAGTTCAAACCCAGAAGCAATGGCTGCCACTGTAGAGCTTTCCGTGCCAAAGCCCCATTCATTTCCAACAGAGTCAGAACCCACTGACCCACCCCCTTGATCTGCCCACAGTTTGGACGCTGGTCCTAAGGGAAGGGGCAGGGACAGGTCCCTGGGAACCTATTTTCGCATGTGGTTCTCTCAGCGAAAAACAATTCTGCACCTGCCTTACAGACTGCACCCAAAGGAGACCTTTGCAGCTGCACACATCAGGCTGTAAGTTGCTTGAGGAACTACCTGCTGCACTCTCCTCCTCCTCCTCTGGCAAGATGGAGCAGAGAGCTGGGAGCTGTTCTGGCACCTTCCCCCAGCTTGATGCTGCCCTAGGGAGCAGTCCCAGTGGGCAGGACCAGGGCAGTGGTCCCCAGAGGCACCAGGATGCTGCCAGGATCTGTTCACATCAACAACGCCTTACCTGCACATGCCACCTGGGCTCTGACCCAGCTGGTGTTCCTATTGCTCAGCCTTCCCATCTGCCAGCCCTCCACACCATCGCTCTGGCCAAGCAGTGGCAGAGCTGGCTCCCAGGGGCAGGGATTTAAGCTGGGCTCATTAGCACCAGACCCCCAATTATCTGGGAGAAGACGAGCAGTCAGAAGCCAGAAGCAGAAGGCTGGAGTGGTACAGCTCCTAGCATGGGACTTTCTGGGGAGCAGAGTGTGACTGGGAGGGCTGGCAGCAGCTCCTCCCCACAGGCTGCCATTTGCCGGGGTGTTGGGAAGGCAGCCAGCAAATAAGAGGAGGTCAGGAGCCATTTCCCTTGTCTAGACATAACCTTTAGAAGAGAAACAAAATGGAGAGTCAGAGAGAAGCTTGAGGGTGAGATTCAGACAGTGCAAATTCCACCTCAGCTGGGAGTTAGGTGGAATTTGGGTATCTAAAGCTTCTGGGAGCAAGGTCAAATCACATACTCTCCCACATCATCAAATCCAGGACAAAATGAGAAATCAGCCTCTAGTGTGGACTGCAAAGCTCTGGATTCCCTAGTTGAGTCTATCCTCAGGGACTTGTGTAACCAAATAAATAACTGGCTGCCACCCAGGTTTGGCTGTAAAACAAAAATAGTTAAAGGCACATATGCTTCCTATGGGTTGCAATTTCCCTGCTTTCTAGAAGAGACCTGGATCACTAGGTAATGGGAAAGGCACAGCCAAGGCTCAGTATTTATCTGTCTCCTCCTGGTGCTCAGAGGTAAAGGTTTAAGAGGTCTTTTCCCTCTACCAAATATTTTGTAGCTGTATCTTCTCCCAGGGTATGTCCTGTCTCTATCCAATATGCAACTTAGACTGACACAGAAACTGGCTGCCAGCAAGACTGCCCTCTGCACATCTTTACTACAGTCTCTACAGTCCTGCCATCACAACAGAACTGGCCCTGGATGTCTTTGGAAAGACTGGCTTCTCTGTGAAAAGCAGCATGGGCCCTGAGCTAGCTGCAGCTGTCAGTAGAAAGAGCCAGGTGCGTTGCCAGCACAGTTTAAAGGGCATGAAATTAGTGCAAGGGAGGAAAGGGGGCAGCTCCAGCCAGCTGCTTGCTGTGTGCACGTGGAGCAGGTGCTGGCTTACAGTCACTAGCACAGGTCCAGCAGACAGAGACATAAAGGCCAAAGTCTGCTTCTGCATCTCCCTCCTTAAACATGCTCTGTGTTCCTGATTGCCAGCAGCAGGTCTGTGCAGCTGCATGCATCAGTCCAGCAGGAACCTATTTTGCAATCCACTTCAATTGCCAGCTGTTTCCCTTTCTCCTGCTCTGTGGGTTCTTATGCTATCCTGGTGTCTTCTTCCTTCCACCCCCTGATTGCCAGCAGCAGGTCTGTGCAGAGCTGCATGCATCAGTCCAGCAGGAACCTGTTTTGCAATCCACTTCAATTGCAGCTGTTTCCCTTTCTCCTGCTCCGTGGGTTCTTATGCTATCCTGGTGTCTTCTTCCTTCCACCCCCTTCTCTGCATCTCTCCTCTGGATCACGTTGACCCTGTGTTCCAGTTTAATATTGCTGCAGTGCAGTTAATAAAGCAGAGGCCAGCACGGAGGACAGGGAAACACTGACCACCTTATTAGAGACGCTGAAGCCTCAGTGGAGGAGCTCATGCTACAAGCTCATTCATCACCAGGCTCAGCAAGCTGGCTCAGGGGCCAGAACAAGAGCACTGCGCAAAGCACACACTCGCCTCTCCCTTTATCTCCTTCCATTCCCAATAATCTGAGGGAGGGGATGGGAAAGGAAAAAAATCAAACAAACCCACAACTCCTACCAGCTGGCTGTGAATATTACACAGGCTGCAGAAGTGAGAATGTTCTTGTAGAAGGAGTGCTCTAGAAACACCTTACAAAGGGTAAAGTCAGCCCCATGTGGTTTGTTTGTATTCACGTGCAGTGTATACAACTTGTCCCTTTCCCTGTCCCTGTCCCTTTCCCTGTCCCTGTCCCTTTCCCTGTCCCTGTCCCTGTCACTGTAAGCAGTATTAGCAACCAGGGGAGAACTCACTCACATGCACTCAGCCACCAAACCTCTGGGAGCTGCAAACCAGGGCTGCCCTTCCTCATTCCTCACCATCACCTACCCTGCTGGGGGGCACTGTTTGCCCTTTCCCCTGTCATGTCATTTGAGCCAGCATGTGATGCTGGCAGAGTTCTTGTCCCACTGTAGCCAGCTGAGCTGGCCCATGGACCAGGAACACACACCAAGAGTCTCAGAGACAAAAGCAGGATGCCACAGTACCCCTGACCCTGCTCCCATTCCCAGCTGGAGCACTGCCATAGCAGAGGGCCTGAGGTATGACACTGACACACCTACCTTTTCTGTTTATATAGGCTAGTAAAGGAAAAAAACCAGGATTATGTTTTCAGACTGAATGAAGTTTATGCCAGATATGTACCAGCTAGAAGCCTTAATAAAGCTGAAGGATATTAATAAACACATCTGCCAAGTGTTACTGGGTTGTGGGTCTGCTCTACACCACCACCACAACAACCTACCTGTGCTGAGACTGGTGGTCTCACAACTGCATATTAATGCTTGTTTGAAAGGAGAAATTAGAAAGAAAATCTGTTTTATCACCAAGCCCCAAGGTATTTATAACAAACGTCTAGAAAAATGAACATTAAAATCATGTAGACCCCCAACAAGCTGATTGGAGCAAAGGAACTGTTTTGCAGGCATCCAGCTTCCCAGCATTGCAATTCACTCCTGATGCTCTCTCTTTACTTGTCCTGTTTCTTCAGCAACTTCTCAGCTCAGGGCAGAAGCACTAGCTCTGGTTTCCAATATCTCCATTCAAATCCTTTCCACACATGCTCGCTCTTACACTCTTTTTTTCTCAGCCTCATTCAAATTCCCCTGGCTACTCCTTCCTGCAGCACAAAAGAGACAGGGATGGCTGCCTGCATTCCCAATCCAACCTCACTAATTGCAGATATGGGCTGTGGGGACAGCTCCCAGCTCCATCTGCAGCCTCTCCAGCCCAGCTGAAGGCAGAGGAGGCAGCAGATAAAGGCAGGCTACTGTGGCACAGCAGCCTTGCACGCAGGCTCCATCCCTCTGGCAGGCTCTTCCTTGCTCCCTGTGCAGCTCTGCACACCAGATAAATGCTGTCTCTGTGTGCAGGTGGGGTGTCCTAAGCTCCCCCAATATCCCTCTCCTTTCTCATCTGTGAGTGTCAGGACACTCTGGAGAGCAGACATCCACCAGACTAGGAGCTGTGGAGAACCTGGTGGTGCAAAAAGCACAGGTGTCTCACAAAG